CCAAAATTTTTCTATCGATAAATATGAAAAATATAAATGGCTCACTTGATGCGAATTTTCTAAATCTCTATATTGCTGGTCATCCTATTATTCCCGAAGAAAAAATATGTTTGGTATGATAAAAGATTTTCGGATATGAATAATTTTTCAAAAGCAGTTAAACGGCTTGAAGGATCAACCGCTCATTTGTAGTCGATAATTCAATTAAAAAATATGATAGATTCGATGCGCAAAATATCAATCGAACAGCATAATTCTAAAGTCAAATCAAATAGATAAATATTAAAAATATTGATCAGCTCTATATGTTTTCTTGGAATTCAGGAGCTCGTATTCCGTGGTGATGATGAATCTTCTAATTCAGTTAATAGTGGAAATTATATTGTATTAATTTATTTACTCGCGGAAGAAAATTTACTATTGAAACATCATTTAGAAATAGTGCAGTTTTTATTGGAATATCAAGCGATATTCAAAATGATTTTAATTCTATTTTATATGTCTTACACCAAAAATATTGAATTAATTGTTAGATATTAGTAAATTCCAAATAATCAAAATTTCCAAAAATATTTATTTGATAATTTAAACGACACTTATTCTCAATTTTTCGACTTACACAAGCTGGAAACCGAATTAAAGATAGTGTTTCGGGAAGTTGAATTTAGAAATAGAAAGAATGTTAATGAAATACTTGAATTTTTAATATGCACCGATTTGATGAAAAGTTTTAAAGAGTTTTCTAAATTATGCAAATTCATCTTAACTTTGGTTTCAACAACAGCAAGTGGAGAACGGAGTTTTTCATCTTTAAAAAGAATCAAATCTTATTGCAGAAACAGGATGAGACAAAATCGATTACGAATCTATTTTAGATTTCGATTGAAAAAAAATTATTAAAAAATTTAAAATCTAGCAATAACTTTTATAATGCAGTACTATCATTTTACTCAAAAACAAAGACGAATACCACTTATTTAAAAATCTTAATGTTTTTATGGTTTGAGTTTGACCAAAATAAAGTAAAAAATTTTTTTGATTGCTTTCCTAGTAGTGAACCTAACGCTTCGTCACTGAAATTATGAATGGCATACAAATTACACACAAATAAATTAAGTTACCTTTTAGGCATAATTGAAAAAATTTTAAAATAAAATGTATATACCCTTACCTGAAAACCCTTTCTGTACTCAAATTACAATTTAATAACAACTAAATCAACTGGTATCTCGTCTAAGAATTTCTTTTATTAGGAAGGAAAGAAAAAGTAATTACCATTTTTATCAGAAATTTTTTTTTACAATTCCTTTCAAAACACAATAAAAAAAGATCACGTGTTCTATTATTATAATCCAATCAACCTTATTCATTTTGTTGATTGGCATTATACAAAAATTAATATAAATTTATCTATAAAACTACGACAATAATAACAATAATTTTTTGAACGTTTGGATCGTTGTTGGTTGATGCCTTCAGTAAGTTTTCAATAATAAAGAGAAGGAAGAACATAACTTTAATATTAGACTTTTAACACAAAAACTTATTATTAATTAAAATTAATGATTTCCGTGCCTATGATCGTATGGACACATCATCGTAAAGTTTCGTCCGATTCTGTGATTGGTTCATAAAAGTGCGGGAAAAGTAATAGTTTAAAAATATTTTTATTTATAATCTTAATAATGGAAATTGAAACGGTATCAAACAACGTCAAAATTCTTCTTGAGAAAAGAATTAATCCCAATATAATTCAAATTTAACAATCTAGATATAATCAATTTAGTAATGTAATTTTAGAAAACAAAATTACTAATAAAAAATTCAAAAGAGGACATGATATTCAATGTTTTAATGATTTGGAATATTACTATGCATAGGGTAATAAATTCCACATCATATTACCGATGTAGAAAAAGAAGTTGTTTTGGACGGGGTATTTCCCAATCAGGTAAGTTCACAAAATTTATAAATGATTCACTATAACACCTATTATTTAGTCAATAACCTTCTACCAATTCCAATTATCTCAACAAATTATACAACCTTCAATCAAGTTTCATAAAGTATTAGATTTTTAAAATCAATATAGTTTTCTCAATCTCAAATTCTAGCAACGCCCAATATGCAGTCTGCTAATACCATATCAACTTTCACAAATTAAAATTTCTATGATCTTTTTTTTAGGCAATATGTTTACTCGGTCTCAGTTCTTTGTCGCAAACTCTCAACCAACTTAAATAGTATCATCAATTATTATCTTTTTATATTTAATTTACTTTTATGTAATATGTTTGCTCAATCTCAACCCCTAGTAACACCTAACATGCAACCTCTTAATGCCTTATAAAGTCTAACAAATTATCAAATTTTATAATCATTTAATTATTAGGCATTATATTACCTCAATCTCAACTATTACCCACATTTAATATACAGCCTACAATATCTAGCAAATTAATTTTTTTATAATTTTTGTATTAAATTATTTTTTAAATAGGTCAGAAAATATAAACAGTGCTCAAATGCTTGAATTACAAAATGCTAGCATTCAAAATTCAAGTAATAAATTAATGATAATTAACAAATATCACATATTATTACTATAATCAAGATTTTTATTTACATAGATATTCAATATAATGAATCCTCAAAGGGTAATTATTGCCTTTATTATCAGGGAATTCTGTATATTAAAGATTATTCTTCTAGAAAAGAATCTAATTATTATAAATGTAGACAAAATTTATGCAATGCACATGCCATATTAAGATTAAGTTATTCTATAATCGATAGCAGAAAAGAACATACTCACGAAGACAAGGATAAATTTTTAGCCTCAAAGCCGCTGTGAAATGGAACCCACTGGAATCAAGGAAGAGAATATATAACAATTAATATATTGGAGTTTGCTGATAAATCATCAGCTTATATTAAATTAGTATAAAATGTATTTGATAATATTTAATTTATATTTGTTTATACATGTTGAATAATTTATATTTATTAATTGTATTCTTAATCGTATTTCTTTGTTTTATACATTTTAAATAATAAATATTTGTCTTATACATTATAAATAATCTATATTTGATTAATAAAATGCTTCTTAATTTGCTGTAGAAATTGAATCCTATAACAGCATAAATAAATACATTAAAAATTACATTTTTACCATTCCAAATGAATTAATAACATTTTTACCATTCCAAATGGTTTAATAACATTTTTGCCATTTCAAACCTGTTAAACGAAATAAATAATACATTAAAAATTACATTTTTGCCATTCCAAGAATTAATAATATTTTTACCATTCCAAATAAATTAATAACATTTTTTACCATTTCAAACCTGTTAAAAATAAGGAATAATGCATTAAAAATTAAATTTTACCATTTCAAAATGAATTAATAGCATTTTTATCACTTCAAACTTGTTAATCTCCATTTTGAACGAGTTGGACGAAATACGATTAAGTGTCTTACTATCAATCATACTTGACCACACGACGCTTTTATGTTGGGTTTTAACAAAAATCGGTTGACCAAAATTTTTATACGAAACAATAATTTTTTCTTCTTTTATTTTATTTTATTTTCTTTTTTAAAACAAAAACTTTTATTCCACAAATATGCTTGCCTCACTAATAACGTGTTTAGCCCAATCGTTACCAATACCCTAGGCATGTTCGGAATTGATGCTCTCAATTCCATCAAAATTATAAGGAAAAAAATACTGTAGATCTCAGGGGACCCCAATAGAGTATTTTAGTAATCTACTAGTCCAATTTTTTAAGCATTCACTCTTCTCAAGGGTGATTTGTACACATTTTTTTTATCTCATTACTCTTTTATACATACATATTTTTTAATATATTATTAGTTGTTTTTACATATATATTTTTAATTATAATTCGTAAATGAAAAATTTGTGAAATTTGTTAATTAAAGTATCTCATCTGTAAAATAAAAAATTTATTATAAAACGCCATCATGATATCTTCTTTTATCTCTCCTAAAGATAACCTTTTAAACTCAGCCTTGACAGCTTGGGTATCTTTAGCTCCATCTCAAGCTGTTTTGCCCACTATCTTAACACACCAATCTATTTTCGAACCTGTAATTAAAAAAAAATTTTAAATAATCTCATCAAACCCCCCTTTGGAGTATATTCAACTATTACAGAATGTTGATTGTACTAGTGGTTATGAATGGTTGGAACCATTACCAAGTCGTAACCTAGGTAACCTCTTATCAGATGAACAATTAAGAGTTGCCATAGGCCATCGACTTGGATGTAACATTGTTCAACCACATACATGCATCAAATGTAAAACATTAGTTGACTCCAAAGGGAGACATGGTCTAAATTGTATATATAGTCAAGGCAGGCATGCAAGGCATGCAGCAATTAATTTAGCTATTAGCCGTTCTCTTACCAGGGCCCGAATACCTAACATCCTGGAGCCTACAAATTTATCATTAGATGATGGCTTAAGACCAGATGGCTTAACTTCCGTGCCTTGGGTCTTTAGGGAAATCCTTAATTTGGGACTTCACATGCGTATATTCTTTCCCAAAAAATTTAAATTCTAATCCGGTTGATATAGTCGAGAAAAAAAAACAATATTCCAAACTCACAAATTATATTTTTACATCGATCGTTATCTCTTCCTTTGGACACATGCCAAGCGTAACCTTAAAATTCTTAAAAAATAAGGCGATAAGATAGGTGCCATTAAATCATAACCAAAAGAATATTATTTTTTATGACAAAACCTACAAATCATTATTTTAAAATAATTATGCATGTTTTTTGGGAACTTGTAGTCCCACCTCCGTTTTTATAAAATATTGTTTTATTTTATCCTATATTTGATATGTAAATTTTAATATTATTTTATTTGATATTAAATAATGACATATAATCATTCAAATTTACGCAACTTTAACAAATGAGTGCAAACGTCATTTAGTCATAATGTTTTTTTCTTAAAATATTCAAAAATTTTATTTGATTTTAATTTTAATAGTTTTATTTATGTTTTATTATATTTTAATGACTCTTCTAACCCTTCATCATCACATAATCCAAAATGAGTAAATTTAAATAGTTTTTATTTTCTTTAATGATAGCGTATATTACTTCCTATTTTTGCAAAACGTTTAGCATATAAGCCGAAGGTTAAATTAACAATGGACGTTGGGAATATCTCACGATCTTATAGTTCATAGTATCATTTAAATGAATATATATATATATCCAATTCTTTATCAAATGTATAAACTTTAACCATTATTGCGAATTCGTCTGAGATTTCATGAATCTCGTTCAGCTGTTACATCATGCCTAACGGAATTCTGACTAAATAATTACTGCAACCCCCCCCCCTCTTCTTCAACCATTTTAAGAATAAGTTATAATAAGCAGTTTCTACAACAGGTGAAGTGGGAAAAATTTGCATCCAGTAGAGGGTAGGTTTTAATAGGAAAGGATTACGCATCTTAATTTGTTGCCTATACTTTTCTCTTTATCTCTATTAAAAGAGTAGATCATGTTAATTTTTTTTATTTGTCAATTGTAATACCTTCTTTTATGTTTTGGTTTTCCTAATTGTCTTTCAGATATTTTCCCCAGTTTTATAACTAAAAAAGATGGCTTAGAAAAACGGAATATTGAAATATAAATGAATTAAGGTTGAATGAATTCATATAATATAGATGCATACTGACCGATAGGCAATGTTCACCTTGTGATGCGACTAAATGTATATCTCCGATGCAGTGTTTATACGGTTTTGTCCCAGATCCCTGTTACTGTTGCATGCAATGTGCCAAAGTAAATAATGATATTATAATACCTTGATGATTCTTCGACCTTGAATTTACCTATTGATAGTTGAATTATATCTTTCTCGTAAGATTTTTGTGTAAATATCCATTTTAAATAATTGTTATTGGGTTTGTAGATGGGATCGTAAAAATAAAAGGTATTATTCCTGATTCCGAAGGAAAAAGATAGATATAATTTCAAATCTTTTTTCTATAGTTAAATGCTAGTTAAAGGAATAGGCTTTTTATGAACATAAGTCCAACTTGATTTATTTTAAAGTTAACTAAATCCAAAGTCCCGAGAATTAATACAGTGATAGACAATACGCCATTGCAAAAATTATAACCACCTATAACAACTCTTAATTTACCTTTTGATACCCTAAAAGTAGCGAAATTTGACTTAACATTTATTTTTTACTAAAAGTGTTAATAATTAGCCTATATATATATATTATGGATAGTATATAATATCAAGGTTTGAACTCAATTCTATCAAACGTGTAAATTTTATATCACTATTTCATGTATTCATCATTAATAAAAAGAATTTTCTAATTAAAAGTATAAATCTTTATATATGAACCTATCTGTTGTCCTACGTAATCTGTTGTTAAGTCCAATTTACCCTGTTTTATTAGCTTTTACAAATCGATTGAAAAACATTATAAAAACTACAATTTACTAAAAAAAAAAAAAAATTCTTATTGTATAGCATATATCAGATAGATATATCACGCATCATCTATCAAGATACGTCTATGATAGCTGGATTTATATATATTAGTGTTTTTTACAGAATCTAGCTTTGATGTATCCGGTCTCAAATGCAGGTACAATACTTCTATTCTTGGTTTAGTCCTGCATAGCAGGCTCGTAAGTCCGGTCAGCGCACAGGGCCGGCGTTATCGTCATTAATAAATAATAGGCTCAGCTCGTGGTTCGAAAAATTTTTATGTTATATTCTTTTCCTGTTCTTCCTCTTTTTTTGTACCAGATTGGATATCACAAGTCATAAAATAAATTTTAAAAAAAAATAGGTTTAAAAAATATCTCACGATGGGATACATCTGCTACTATTGTTTTTTGTAAAATAACATTCTGTAATAAATAAAATAAAATAGAAAGAAAAAAAGGTAAGAAAGAAAGAAAGAAAGAAAGAAAGAAAGAAAGAAAGAAGAAAGAAAGAAAGAAAGAAAGAAAGAATTTAAATTTGAGGCGTAACATTGAAATGGATATTAATTTATTTTTTTGAATTGTGTGAACTTCTTCCCTAGTGAATTTTTTTAAAAAAAATTTAAGCTTATTATAAATACCCTGGTTTCTATACATAAGGTTCATAAAAAATTGAATATACGAACGTTCTTTACAAATATTATTTTTAGGGTTTAGGTGATATCTGCGGAGGCATTATGGAAGAGCGGGGAATATGCGCCGAAAATCTAATTTGCAAAGTCATTCCTAAATCCACATTAGAAGGCCCTAAGGTTGGGGTATGTCTAAACGATACAAATAATTTTCTTCTCTCTTTAATCAAAGGTATCAAGGTTCTCTCTATTTAACGCGTATTGTTTAAAAAAAATTGACATTTCTTAATAATGATAAAAGGTTATTTACAATAATTAATGTTAATAAATAAGAATTTTCTAATGTAGCAAATTAATGAATATTAGATATTTCCTTTGTCTTTGCAGTTAATCTGTGAATCTTAAATGAAGGATTCTTAATCCTATTTTATTGATAAATATATTTTGCAAATGTAACCAGACATTACTGAATCGGGTGATGCTAGGGATAAATTTATTTTATCACGTGGTACATTCTATAGCATCATCTCCGCCTGGAACGTGACTAAAGTTTTCCTAGGTTACGGTAAAATATTTCAATTATCACTCTTATGTTCGGAATTCATATTGTTATAACAAAAGAAAAATTTCAATAAATACCTTCTTAGATCATGATAATTCAAATCTGAAAATAAGAAGAAATTTCGATGTTGATTTATTCACACCTTCAGCCATAAGAACGAGAAGGCAAAAGTTAGGTAGGTAAATTAATTTTACGAAAATTTTAAATAACATCACCTAGTTGACAAATTGTTATGTCTGCGATGACATATATGGATAGGTTATCTTAGTGTAATCGTCTAGTTCACTTAAATATATTTAAAAAGAAATCTGATTAAAGTTATTTTTAACGGGTCAATAGATTTTATTTCGCTCTACTTAAAATTTAAAAAAAAATTATTTTAAATGTAATTTTAAATGAGGGCCTATTTTTTTTTATAGCTTATACAAATAATAATCGATGCCTTAATTGACAAAACATTCATACTGATTGACTTAAAGCCCAGCTGATTAAGTAATTACAAAATTTTTTCTTGAAGGATTTTAAATGATAAAAATGATCGTTATTTTATTTTCAAAAAAAAAAGAGACACGAATTGAAAATAAAAATTATTAATTCTAACATTAGAATACGTATATAATATCGTAGATCTAGATTATTTTAAACAAATCTTTTAAAATTTGGATCAATACACCTAATTTTAAATTTAAAAATGCTGCTTCTGCCGCAATCATATTATATATTGTATAGAGTTCCTACTCTATGAAATCAAACAATATTTCAGGGAAAACTTTACCGGTTGTAAATATGATGAGCGGTTTAGAAAAAACGGTGCAAATTGGCTCCAACTACAAGCGTAGCTAGGATTTGTTAGAAGTAGGGCTCTTAGGTTGGTTTTTATTATTAATTTTATTGGAGATTTTAATTATCACTTATTGTATGCCTTTGGCAAATTTTTTTTTAAATAATAGCTTTCGTTTTACTTTTTTTATTAGATGTTTCCTGAATATTTCGAAATGCAATCATAATTTCCTTTGATGATAGACGTATGCCATAGGTTATTATTAAAGGAAAATGCTACTTTTTCTGCTATAATAAAAAATAAAGAATTTTACATTGGTATTTAAAACGAGCAGATTTTTTAATAATAAAATCCCCACCTAATATTATTTACAATTATTTTCAAAGAGAGAAAGTGAAGTCCAGTTATTAATTCTTTACATATTTATCCTATAAACTAAATTTTTAACAATTATCATTAGATATGTTAAAAGCATTTGGTAATCTTCAGGGTCAAGCAATTGTAATAATTCTTTAAATTTTTAACAAACTACATGAATATATTTATCATAAGATATATTAAACAATTAGTAATCTTAAGATTTAATGCAAGCATAGGTAATAATTCTTTATGTTTTACTTTTACATATAAACTTAATTTTTAGAAATGAAAGGAAACTTATTTTATTTAAAAAATTGGAAATTTGTATTATATAAACCTTATCAAGCAATGAGCCCAAATATCGTCTAGTTATAATAAATCATAATCATTTTATTTTTTAAAAAAAGTTAATTTTATGATTTTTAATCTTTTAGAAAGGGTTCATGTTTTCAGCCATAATGAGAAAATATTTCAAAATGTTAGGTTTGAATAAGTAACATCAAAATGTGTTACCTATATTATATATATTTGTTTTATATTGCTATTTATTGCTTATAACAATTAGTAATCATGACCATCTCTGATTACGCACCATTTGTGATTTCCAGGTTACCCTCCCCCTCTATTAACATTTTTTTATATTATTAAGCTTTCAAACCTCGCCCTAGTTCAATTAATAAAAATAATTTATAATAAAAATCTGTTAAGATTTTTAAAAAATAAATAAATTCATATAAATGTAACCATAGGCGAGAAAATTAAGATATGTTATATTAATTTAAATGTTGTAACACTCATTTAGGTTTGTAGCCTAATTACATTTTCTCTCATTTGTTATTTTAAGTAGGCAAGTTGTCTGTAGCAAATATTTTTTATAACTTCTTTAATTTTCTAGCATTATTAAATGACTATCTTATCAATATGATAGCTATTATAATTAGGAATTATTTATTTTGTAAAAATCTAAATATGCGCGAATAAGGATTAAGTTAACAAATGTATATTTCAACCAGGGGCGTCGCTAGCCTTTACAATCTTAAGGGGCTCAACAAAAAAAAATTTATGTGGGGTTACGCCCCCATACCCTCCAATTTGCGGGCCTTCAGTTCGCTTTTGCCCGGCCTTCGGCCGGGTTTTACATAAATATATTATCCTTTTTTAAATTTGTTAACTGAACAATTATTTTGAATTTCATATTTACTCATTTATTATATTATGCTTACAAAATAAACTATAAAATAAATAATTAAAACAATACAAGACATTTTTAAAAATAATATTTTTTAATACAAAATATATTTATTACATTATAAAATATTTTCGATTGCTGATATAAAAAAAATTTGCGTCTAAAGAATTACAAGTGATAAAAAAGATTAATTAATTCATACACATGCCTAAATTGATAATAGTTCTTAAAAACCACATAATGCAATAATATAATTCTTAGCAACTTACATTGACAAAAAGGTTATCTAACTAATATAACTCTCTGTTACCATTTTACACATTTATAGAATGGACTAATAACGAAATTTATAGGCCTAAACCAAATTAACAATTCTTGAAGAAGATAGTATAAACGAGCAATCCAAATCATAAAATTATTAAGTGGTTAGAGCTTCCTTTTAGATGCCATGATGGTAGCTAGATAAGTAATCTAGAAAATTATTGTGAGATATTAAATTTCTAAAAGATTATCATCCATTTTAAATGATTTATTATATATAAACGACTACACAGTTTACCATAATTGTTTATCTAAAATATGCAATCATATGCTCTCAGCCGTTGTTCTAATAATCTTAAATTACATAGCAATACATGTTAATTTGCAGTAATAGATGACACTCACGATGTAAACTTATATCAGAATTTATTATGTTGGATAAATTGATATAATATAAACATTAAAAATCTTTGTAAGAATTATATGCAAATATATTGAAGCCTGGAGTTATTTACACAGCAATGCCATATTAGAAATCAAACATTTTCTAATTATAAATAAGGATCAGAATGATATGATGAAAAATCTAAGATTTTATATATTGTCGAACCACCTGTATATTATATCTTAATAATGGTAGTTTGTAATAATATCAAAAATATATTTGTATTAAAAATTTAACTTAAAATTTTTTCGAAAAAGAAAAAAATAGCTTTCTTAAAAACACGGAAAAAAAGAGAAGAAAAGATATCAAATTTTTTACATTTGCAAGATGAATAATAAAATGTTTTATTTTTAAAATTATAATAACGTTAAATACTTGAATGCAAATCGTTACCATATTATCAAAACCATTTATTAGTAAAATTTATTATAATATTAACTCTAATATATTATATAACTGTCAAATCCGTCTATAAAAGTGGCATTTAATCTAATATTTTATAACCAACTGTATATAATACTTTTTACAAAAAAATCTCTTATACTTATTTGGACCTTGAAAATATTTTTAGGAATAGGTATTATAATTAAATTTAAAAATAAATATACAATTGATTAGTCATTTTGAACTCGGCTAATTACAATTTTAAATTTGTTAATTTTCAAATAATATGATTTAATTTATTTAAGGTTTATATAATAATTTAAATAATAAAATTCAATTAAACTTCTGTTCAAGCTAAATTACTTAGTGATTTATTGATATTATATTTTGAATACAGAATTTGATTGTAACTGACATAGTGAAAATATAATTCATATGTATTAATCAAATCTAATAATTAAAATAGTATTCGTTTAATAAAAATTTAAATAGTCTTATTAATTTCTAAATAATAAAATTAAATCTATATTTTATTAATGGAATTATAAAAGAAATCATTCAAGGGCTATCAAAAAAATGTATTTTTAGTTCAAAGGGATATTAAGGAGTATGTAAAAAAAAAATTTTGCTTCAGGAGGCTATTCAAATTTTTTAGGGGGCTCGAGCCCCTGCGCGCCTTCTTTTCTAGAGACCTGATTTCAACTCGTTATCAACATCTTCGTTGTGTATAAATTTAGAATGGCCTATGTGCGAGAAAAAAAGATAGCATTTCTTTGCTAATATGGCCATCTATCATTTCCCATTTTTTATCCAAATTATTGTTAGATTTATTATATATATTTTTGTTGGAGAGGTGGTGGAGGAGGGAAGAATAGGTAATTTTCCAAAGAAGGGAATCCCCCCCACCGCAGTTCAGTATTGTTTATGCGAAGAACTTTTATCATTGGGGGGGGGGGGTCAGAATACAAGATTATCATTAAAAGGAATGTATATATTAACGCTATCATATCTTCATATAAATACAATTAAAAAGAGGCACGAGGTTTTTATTAGTTAGGTAAGAGAGGGGTAGGGGACAAAATTTAGCGGTATAGGGTGTAAAATTTTTATGAGGGATTAAATTAATTTACCCTGATTATACCAATATTTAACAAGTATTTTTGCACATTCCAAATATGTGTGTTAAAATTTAACAAAATGGGAGTTTCGATATCATAAAAATTGAATAATTAATTTATTAAAATAAAAAGTGATATTTGGTTAAGCTTTATATATTTTAATTTTATAACTAATATATACCTAAAGTTTTTATAATTAAACAAATTTTTGTCGGTTTTTACTTTTTTATTAAATTTTAAACTCTTTTTAATGATTGACGTCGACAGCATGTTCAAATATTTTTAAATACAAAACATATGATTCACATCGATATAAAATGAAAATTTCGGTTGACCTTATTAAAGGAACATATTATTTAAATGGTGAGAACTTAATTGCTCAAATTATATTTCAGAAATATGCTACGAAAGATAAAAGGTTGTATATATTATATTTTTGTACTTACACATTGATTATTTGATAGGAAGGATCATAATATATTGGCATGGGCATGTGCACAAATTCATTGTCAATGTAGTTTTGATGATGATAAGGTCAAGGCTAATTTAACAAATAAAAATGATAAAATTTTACCTCATTTAGGATTAACATCTTTAATTCCAAATTATGGTAAAATTCTGGAATATTAAATATATATTAATTTGTTTTAAGGAGAGAAAGGCTTTTGTGTATATGCTTCAGAACCAAAGATTTTAGTTTGCGATCTAGACCTTAAGACAGGAGAAACATATGAATGTAAATATAGTTATTTATAAAAAAAAAATTATAGATCCGGCATAATTTATTTTTGTCAGGGATCCAGTACAGATACATTTATATATTCCTGTTCTATTCCCATTCTGCTCAAAAAATATGTTCCATTCCATGTTATAGAACATTCTGGAATGCATCTAAAAATATCTAATTTTATATCTACTTTATTCTATACTATACCAATTTTTTCACTATGTAATATTAATTGAGATATTTGCTAAATGATTATCATCTATATTTGTTCAGTAAAAATACCTCCTAAACTCAACACTAACTTGGTAACAATATTATCAAATACTTATATTATATAAGATTAATAATAATAAAAAGGTTAAAATTATTTCATATATGATTAAATTCTTTTTTTTATAATCTAAATTATTAAAATCACACAATACAATACTGTTATGAATGAGCCACTATATATAATTATGTAAAAAAAATTTATTATTTTGGAATGTTCTAAAACTATTACGGGCATGTTCCCAGAATCATCCATTTCCTTTTGTGTTACATAAATTTTCTTAAGGTCTCATTCCAAATCCATGTTTTATATATTTGTACCTTTTTTATACTTGTTTTTATTATCTCATATTCAAAATAAATTTTTTTTTCAAATCATGCCCAAATGTTTATTTAGATCTATATCAAGAAACAATTCCCTATGAAGCATTCCCTTCCTATCGTGGAACTCTTTGCAAATATTCGTACAAACTGACCATCACAGCTCAGTATCTATCATCGCCTGTTAATTTCGTGAGGATTCCTTTCAAAGTTTTAATATTACAAGGTTCTATCTTTCTCAAAACAATATTTATTTTACCTTGCCTCTTTCTGTTTACGTTATATCTAAAACCATTTAATACAATAAACAATATTATTAGATACAAGTAAAGAAAATGTGGATAAACTTTACCATATATAAGAATAAATAAAAGAATAAGATAGAATTTCAGGAAAAAAAATTTGTTTTTATTTGTACCTTATTATAAGTCCAAGTTGCACAAGTTTCTTGTTCTAGATTTCTATATATAGTAAAAATTGCTAAAAATCAGGGGTATAACCTATATTTATAAAATTTTTCTAAATCTTTAATTAAAACAATATTGACAATAATTTATATTGATAGATGTTAGGATTGAAGTAGTGTTGTTAAAAATCCCCAAGGCCCGATTAAGATTTTATCTAAAATATAAGCATTGAGATTTGACAAATAGATTTCTAAGCATTTTGGCCAGCTGTTAGCAAAATCTTTAGGATTGCATGGTGTAATTTTGGTTATAATCTTCATCGGGCCATTTTTTTAAAAATCGACCCAAATTGGATTTTTTTTAAACAACACTAGGATTGAATTTTAAAACCTAAAAATTGGGAAGACTTGTTTTAGTGATTTAGAACTTATCCTAAGCACAATATTCCTTTGCAAAAATTTAATTTTAAGTTAGAGGAAGAAAGAAAGGTTTTATTTTCTTGATTAAGTTCAAAGTAGGAAAATACACATTTAAATTACATGCAGATAGGAATGAAAAAAAAAACCATATAGGAGGGGGAGTGGAAAACATTTTTTTTTAAGTTGTTTTTTTTCCTGTCCAGGTTCGAATCCTGGTCACGGCACCACTCTACAAGAATCGTAAGAAATATTCTTTATAAGAATCGTAATAAATATGGTAGACAGCTGATTTGAATTTAGATTTTTATTAATCATTAATTTATAAAAAATAATTTTAAATTCACAAAACGAAAATTAATATGTTCAAAATTAAAATTTATAATCTATTTATTTGTATATATTTTTCCTAAACTTTTACAAAAATTGAAATAATGCTAAAAATCGGGAAAAAAATTGTATTAAATAATCCTTATTTTTTTTCCCTTTTTATATAATAATAATAACCATCCACGTTTAACCAAAATAAAATGCGAATATGTTTTTAATGCATAATATACTAGGGCATGCCACCTCTTTGAGGGCCAGCGACATTACCTGCACAAAAAAAAAATCGATTAATATACAAAAAAAATTTAAACAACATCCCAAAAAGGAACATATTATTCAACATATTCAATCACCTAACATCATCATCGATAGCAAATTCTCCCAAAGATTTTCATCCGTTTTCGTCAGCTGTTTAGGCTCCAATATCATGGGCTGTATCGTGCACATCACACTGGCCGCCCTGTGTTGTTCCATGACCGTTCGGATATTGATGATGTTCATCCTGTCAATGCTTGCCTCCTTGTCTGTCGACCTTGATGCCAGCAGCACCGGTTGCTGATTAGCCTTTTTGGGCCCGTCGAGCGCACTCTCCACGAATTCCCTCGCCAGTCTTTTCGTCATTCCTTACTAGGTAAAACGGATATTATAATCTTGTTCCACCAACGGTCCCAAGTTCTTTCTGTTCAAAGCCGGACATTGATTTCTCAAATGGGTCTCCGACTGACAGTTGAAACATCTCTTCTTTCTAATAAGCTAATTGCCCGACGCTGAAAGGGCCTCCATTTGGTGAACACTGCTATTAAAGTCCATGACTTTCGGAATCAAAGTAATTTGTAAGTAACAAAAAGGCTAATCTGTAACCCGTGTCGCTGACATCAAGGTCGACCGACAAGGGGGCAAACATTTACAGGACGGACATCATCAATATCCGAACCGTCATGGAACAACACAGGGCGGTCAGTGTGATGTGCCCGATACCGCCCATGATATTGGAGCCCAAACTGCTGACGAGAACGGATTCGGATGAAAATCTTTGGGAGAATTTGCTATTGATGTAGTAACCATGATGTTAGGTGATTGAATATGTTGAATAATATGTTTCTTTTTGGGATGTTGTGTAAAAAAAATTTTTGTGTAGGGAATATCACTGGCCCATAAAGGGGTTACATGTCCTAGTATATTATGCATTAAAAACATATTCGCATTTTATTTTGGTTAAACGTCAATCAGATGTATTGTATACATGTGATTGGTGGAGGATTATTATTATTATATGAAATGGGTAAAAATAAGGATTATATATTATAATTTTTTTTCCGATTTTTTAGCAGTATTCAATTTTTGTAAAAGTTTAGGATATAAATAAATAGATTATAAATTTTGATTTTTGTGAATTCGAAATTATTTTTATAAATTAATGATTAATAAAAATACCAAATTCGAATTTGCCGTTTCCCGCGTGGATTCGAATCCCATCCTCGTCGCCATTTTTTTATAGTCAAAACAATTGATTCTTTATTATAAAATTGTTTCCTTCATATAGTCTTTTATAATTATGTTATTTAACTACTACTAATATGCAATTACATTGACCTCCATAAGATAAATAAAATGTAAGAAATATATAATTCAAATAGCGTAACCTTTTAAAATATATATAAACATTCAAATACAACACCGCCTACAATAATTATTACGGTTCTTTCTAAAGGATATTTTTTTTTTACGATTCTTGTAAAGTTATGTTTTTAAAACAAAATTTACCTCTTTTTTTAAATTATCTTATATTCATTCAATATCCACGATATTGTCAAGGCCTTTCCCAAGAGCTCATGAACGATGAGACATACAGGGACAATTCACCCGCTAACCCATTTCTGTCCACGCAAAATAACGAAATCTCCGATAAATCTGATTCCTTTTCCCTGGAAAAAGCTATGGCCCTCATTCAAGACATCGTATCCTTCAAAAATATAAGTAAAAGAAAAGAGTTGATTCATGGTGTTGGAGGATTATATTGCTTAACTTCGAAATCATGGCAGCAAGATTGCGATCGCGCGTATAACAGCTGATCGATTTTTAATATCTGTTTGTAAAATTGACCTCATAAATATATTTAAAAAAAAATCCTATAAGCTGTTATATTGCGATCCGCCATTATAATTTTAAGGTTAATTTTTTTTTTTTGTGAGAAATATAATGTTATTCACTAAAACGGACGGGTGCAGAACAAGTTTGCTTTAAAGATGATGGCTGCCCGTCAAATTATTTTTCAAATTTTCTCCTTTTTTTTACGTACCGAATAATTGTAAGCGCAATTTTAACTAGTCTTGTTAAACCTCCTAACTTTAATCAGCTGTAAAACAGCGTAGCTACGTAATCCCAAAAATATTCAAATCAATAATTTTTTAGGCTAAAGGCTTAACTAAGCCCACATTAGAAGATGCTCAAAGTTAGGGAATTTAACAAAACTAACTTTAATGATGTAGTTAAAATATTATTATGTTTGATTTAGATAGGCCAAATTAATGAGGCGACAGGCCACCACGTGGAATGAATAGTATATATCTAACCGTAAATGATCGTAGTGTAATATAGTTAGTGATGGGTTACAGGGGGGAATTCATTCGAGAAGAAAATTTGGCTAAGAATTAGCCCCTTAAAACCGAGATTTTAACAAGCGCGCCAATTAGAGACGGGGAGACATTTTTAGAGATCGTGATCCCGAAGAGTTTAAGAAAGGATTTGGAGGCGCGTATAATGGAAATTGTTAGAAAGTTATTTTAAAATTTTAGTTTCTGATGAACATTAATGCACTCATTTTTTTAGGATACATTTCTTTAGAAATATTTGGGCCATAATTTATCGTATACCAAAATGGCATCGAATAAATGGTCACGTGGCGCGCATTATTATTATTATTTATTTTATGTTAACGTCAGATATTAGGATCGCCATGGTAATGGTTTAGGTTTCCTAGTCGGACTTCTGCAACGGGCAGTTTTTTGCCCAAAATATATTTTTTTAAACATTGGGCGAGCATATGTTCTGGTGTAAGAATTACCCATACCAGAACCATAGTTCTCCTATAGGTATGTCCACGTAATACAAGGGTTAGAAACGATATCAGTTTAAAATGGGGAATAATATTAGAGCTACTATTTATGTATCGTCGCCTGAATCTTTTTTTTTTAGAATTATACTCTTCCATCTACATATCCGATACCAGGATAACCGTCCTATCGAAAACGATATAAACATAATTTTTTTTAAATAAAAATTGCTCCCTGTCATAAATGATACATTTTTGTAGTTAAATGTCAATCATTTTATATATATTTTTGTTTATCTGTTTTTTTTATACAGTTAAAATGTCCGTCATTTTAAAAATTAGAGATTTTTTTCGATTTATTTGATATTTTTTTTTATAAAATTAATTATTAATTTTTTTTATGAACTTGCAAAAACCATTCTTGGACATCATTAATTTTTATAAAACGACTTATCAATATTTTTACTAATAAAGAAATTATTTGTTGATTTAGTGATTTGAATAAATTTATTTAGAACATTTCCTAGGTCCTTTTATTTAGTTCTCTAGTTTAGCATTTTCTTTTCTGCGTTTTTTTTTTATTTTAAAAATTTCGTCGTATTTTTTGACACTCCCCTCTTAAAATTACCGAAAAGTAGAGATAGAATATACTAATTCTCAATTTATTTCGCGAAAAAGGGCATTACAACATAATGTCCGAAAATGAAAAGGTCTGCAAGTTATCCATCGGCAAAACTTTTTACGGGGTCGGCGATTATATAAACGTCTACCTGGATTTCTCCGAAACAGCTGTTACTTGCCTGGAAGTAATTGCTAAAAAAAAATTTGTTTTAAGTAGCAGTATTATCCCCGCCATTTTTTTTTGTTAGATATCGATTTTTTTATAAGGCAGGAAAAGATTTTGACCCCCCCCCCTTAGGGGACACAATAAATTGTTTGAAATTCATCAGTGCGGGTGGCTTTACAACAGCTGGGATCTATTTCCGGTCAATTCAGATTTCTCCCTCAGTAAATGTAAAATTGAGAAGATTACTAATCACCACAAGAAGTCCATAATCCCAATACGAACATATGAAATTAGCTTGTTTTTTTTTTGTTTACTCTTATTTTTTTTTGTTTACTTTTATTTATTTTTTTTGTGTGTGTATAGAAAAATGAATAAACAAACTCTTATACCTATTATAAAAAATAAAGTTATACGTTTGCCTTCAAAATGAGGAAGAATTGATATCGGACACCGAACTGGTAACCCACATAAAACACCCACAGAGGTTTACCTCCGCGAACGCGTCAAAAAAAATCGTGTATTCTGGCGACAGCTACAGCGAAATGCGTTATTACACTCTCAATTGCCGCTTCCTTCCCATCCATTTAGCCATCCCTATAACTTCCACTCCCACCTTCACCACCAATATACGTTAGAAAAATGTTCCGACTTCATATTATATTTATTTATACAGACCTTATTTAGTCAGTTCCTCCCCGATTCTGGAATATTCCTCTTTCATAACACGTAGGATTATAGTTGGGTATAGTATATATGTTAAATAGTTTGGTTTTATAAGATTCTAACCTTGGGGGTTGGGGTCTAAAGTTGACTAGGCTATACCGGTTCGCGAATCCCGGGCACAAACCTTAGGGCCCGAATCCAGAAATTCATAATTGAGGAGATGGGAAGTCTTGTTGAGGAATGGTTCTATTTTTTTAAGCTAATATGTAGCTGATACTAAAGAAGGAGCTGTTAGCAGAGAGTGATAGCGGAGCGCCTCATTACTTAGAGGCTCGCGCCAGTTAGAATCAATCATAAAATTATATTATTTTACAAAGGAGGAGGAGAAGGAGAAAAAAAATGAGCTAGAAATAATTTCGTGTCAATATAAATATGAATAGGGGAGGCTGGCAGGTGTCAGAATTTTAGGTCTCCTCACGTAAAAAAAATTTAATTATCGATGGACAGTCCAGGCTTTTGGAAAAATTGTTATTTTTTTGAAATTCGCGGGATAAAGAAGATTTCTTGGTTCGGCTCTAGTGTTGTCAAACGCACTCAATATTTTAGCCAGAAAATTTCTTTAAGACTGTACATTTCTCCAATAGATTATCCAACTCTAAACCCTGTGCACTCTATGAGCAAAATCTTCTGGCTTTGCGTGGTAACGTTTGCCGATAAAATATTGAGTTTGCCGGTTTTAAAAGTCGGCTCAAGTTTAACCGTTTTACAATACTACTCGACTCGGTCCGAATTTTAATTTTTTTGGTAGATTTTTCGGCCCCTGCCCGGAACTTTAGGCTGTATTTCGCAAATTGTTTGCTAAGAATCGATTGAAAAATATGAGCAATTAAAAAACGTTCCAATGTACGGATTCTAACATTTTTCCCAACTGATTACTCGATATAATTCTAATCGATTTTTGGATCGGTTTACTCCGATCTTTTTTTAGCCCCCCCCCCAGATTTTAAAGATCGATCCATCGGCCCGTTCCGGTCCGGGTTCTAAGTCTGTCTTATCAATTAATTTTTTTTCTATAAATAAAGTTTTAAAGAATACTTTTTTAAAGGTGACACGAAAAAATATAATATGCCACGTTGCCAAAATAAATATTATCGATTTCTTATTTCTAATTATATATATATATATATATATATATATATCAGAGTCCTGCAGAGCCAACCAATTGCTCGGACCGGCCTCACGGGCTTAGGCCCGGCCCCACGGGCTTCGGTCCGGACCTACAGGTCTCCTTGATTTCTAATATAAGAGGGGGTTGGGGGTGGGAAGCAACCAGAATCTAATTAATAGAGAATACAGGATACTTTTAATTTATCTGCGCCATTCGCGGTTCGGTCAACCCGATTACATTTTTAGTTAGCTTTTTTTATATATATATTTTTTCTTTTGAATAAGATATAATTTATGATTAGGATAAATTCTACCTTACGCGCTCCTAAGTAAATCCGCGGAGGCGTGGCGCGACTTTAAAATTCTATTGAGCCCCTATTTTACAAAAAATGAAAAGCCCGAATGATCGACTAAAAAAAATTTTTTTTAAATCTAAAGTGGCGGAAATAAATATAAATAATTCCCCCAAACTATTATTTAGAACACACGAGACCCATAAGGTACTAAAAGAGATTTTTTTTTTTTAAATTAAATCGGGGCGTTTTTTTTCCAGATTTTTAATTTCGGGCTTCGTCCCCCCCCAGGGTTTTATGATCGGGGTTCGTGCTCGGAGCAGGCCTACTCCAAACACGAATAGAAATAATTTACTGTTCATATTTCTTACGAAGAATTAAATTTCCCTATTTTATTTGTAAATACGAATAGTAAATTATTCTATCCGATAAATACGGATAATTCGTTATTCGGCAGGTATTCGTTTTTAAAATAGGTCTTTAGATCAGAGCGAGTCTGAGCAACCCAAATCGGGTTTTAATTTTTTTACGAAAAAAGCATTTTAACAAACCTTAATTAGGGTGACGCTCTTTAAAATAACGAACTAAACTTAGTTTTTTTTAAGCGGTAAAAACGTCACCCTCTGGATATTTCGTTTTTGTTAGAAATGTAGATTCAACTTTGAAGAAACCGGCTCAAGAAACCGGCTCAAAGCTTAGCGGATTTTTCTTTAGTCACGTGTAAATCTACCGAACCCGAATTAATCTATAACCGGTTTTTTAAGCGTTGCACGCAACTCACTTTTGGATTTACTTTAAGAAAAACAAAATAAATGGCACGCTTTGTATATATAATAAAATAAGACGATTTCTTTTACATTTTTTTTTAACGCAGTAAAACATTCCTGGAAAATACATTTCGAGTTTACCTTCAGTCACTCCAAATCCCTATCCCGCCAAGTTAGAAGCGACAAGACACCCAAGGCTCCTAAACCAGCTGACTCCCCTCTCCGTCGCAACGAGGAGTCACTCGAAGGCTGGGAGACCCCGCGGGTACAAGATTGCCACGATAATCTAGAAAAAGTCGATAGCGTCGTTGGTAGCGATGTTGGGCGTTTAGAAAGTAATGATATGTCAATTTTTCAGGGATCCCAAGAAATTTCCGTTCCTCAATCTCGCGAATCCTCGAATGAGATCGCGTTAAATTCGGAATCATTACACTCCAATACCCTCGGTTCAAACCTAGAATCACATTCGGACATCGAACAAAACGTATCGGTTAACAGTGCTGGGATCGCGAAGCAACAAGAAGAAAGAGCCGCTAGTGACGAGCGAATCACGTCAACCCTGGAGATACCTTTATCGGTCAACGCCGAGACCATGGTTTGGGATTTACCCATCAAACTGTTTCCTTCCCATCCCCTCGCTATATCTTCTCAGTTCCCGCTAGGGAAGATTAGCACCGTTATCTGAAGACCTAAGAAGATCTTATACTTAATTTCTATACCTATTTATTTTTTTTGTTATTAACAGCATTCCGCGAATCAATGAAGTTTACTGTTTATAGCATTATTTATTATAAATTATTTATTTCTAATATTATATTATATGTTTCAAAAAATTACAAAACAAAAAAAATAAAAAACAATATTTATTTTGAATTTGTGTTTTTATTATGTTTTTTATTTGCTTTTGAATATTCGAAAAAAAACAATCTTGTAATTCATCAGGGTGTTTTAATGAATAGATTCTTGCAGTCAAATCTCTATCAAATTTATCTACAAGCGCCAGTTTTTTATAAATCAGAATTAGCCTGACCTTAATAGTTCCTGCTTTAGAATATTTTAAAAAAAGGTTATTTTAAGATTTCCGTTCCTAGGACATAATTTTTTCCGTTTCTTACTGATTTTTGCGACTACTGGACGCTTTTTAAAAACGCAAACTTTTGGGACTGATGCGTCTTAACGCAATATAGTTTTTCTTTCTACACATAATAAACTAATGTGTCGTGTTTTTGATAATTAATACGTAACATTTTATTTTTACCAAATTAGATAAATGATTAAATGCACAATAATAAATTAATATTATCTTTTGCTAGAAATCGTTTTGAAGTTGAATCGAAATGATTTATTTATAATGTAAATATGATATCAATTATATATGGTAATGCAAGTGATGAAGCGTAACTGATAGATAGGGAAGCTAAAAATTACACGTTACATTTATTCATATAAGTTTTCTCTTAATTTATCGCATAAATTTCCAATTTTGTATTCTCTTATATGGACGGTGTGTCACTGTTGAAATATAATAATAATAATACTATCTTCTGTACCCATTAATCCTTCATAGCATAGTTTAAAAAAAATAACTAGAAAGTCTAATGGGGGGGGGGGGGGGGGGTCCTTAAATCCCCTCTAACTAGTAAGGTACGTACGCTATAACTTAGAATTAAATTTATTTTTTAGCTTCCCCTATTTAAACATATATATATATATTAAATAAAATTCTGATAGTAAAGTGTCTTTAACTCTTATTTATTTGTTATTTTTAAATTTTATTACGACTCTTGCCGAGAAGATTCAAAAAAGGTGACAAATTATTTTAAAATTTAATTTTAATTAAATGAGAAATAATGTGTAAAAATTATTCTTCAAATTTAATGTTTAATTTATATCAATGTTTATAACAAGATGGGGAAAAAAAATAATGACACGGGTGACCAGGTGTGGTGTACGCAGACCCCAAAGCTCCAATACACCATTATAACTGCATGAATTACCCTCGGAAATGAAATCAAAATTAATTTTGGCACATATATATATAAATATTAAGCTAGTTGTCATTTATATATCTATTTTTTGGGGGGAAGCTGCTACTGAACATAAACAAAAAGAGTTGCCCAGAGTCCTCGTATCTGTAGCCGACATTCGCGTTAATAATTTTTTTTACAGTAAGACCTTGTCGCGCGTTAGTGATGCCGGAAATTATTATTTTTTGAAATTAAGATCCATACAAGAATATAGAAAAATAATTTTGAGCAATAACGTTTTTTATAATGACTGGGGTCTGCTTATAGTCCCACAACCTTCGAAAATATAGAGGTTATTGGAACTCTAAAGAATGCCCTGTGTTGATAAAAACATCAGGCAAACATTTTCCTTTATATTTTAGAATACAATTATACCGATTTAATAATATGATTTTAAAATAAAAATCGCTTTCTTTGGTCTTTATAACCAGACGTATCCTATCGAAGGCATAAAGTTACGAAGATTTTTTTTATTGGAATCAATTCTCAAGTACGGACTGGAACAGGATTATGCCGACAATCTGACTGGCTCTTTTCCCATTCTCTAACGCAAGATAATAACAATTGAATTAAGGATTATATATATATTTTTTTAAATATAATCATAAATTACCTTCTCAATCTCTTTCATTTGTTTGAAATAATATACGCTACCTTGCGGAATTAATATTATAGATTTTTTAAAAATTATTTCTTATTATTTTTAATAAATATATGATCGAAATATTGAAAAATTATGCGTATGTTCTGCCAAAATTACATCTCTCAATTACTGTCAAAATTATCCTAAATGTAGTATCCCTCAGATTCGAAATCTCAAAAAAAAAAAATTAAAATAAACGCTTTCACTTTATTATATCATATGATTTGTGTCCCGCCACCTACGATAAGCTAAAATGGTCCCTAATGTTTTTGAAGCGAGGATTATAATAAGAATGTTAGAATTTCTTTAAATTTTAACGCTAATTTTTTTTTTATTACTTCATCCAGAAAAAAAAAAATTACGCAAGGACCTGAAGATTTTGCTCGTAGAAGGAACAGAGATCTAGAAATATTTCTGCTAAAATATTACGCGAGCCTGAAGATTTTACTCATAAGAAGGATCGAAGGGTCTAGAAATGTTTTTTTTTAAATGCCAAATCTAGTATTGTTAAACGGCTCATTTTGAGCTGATTTTTATAAAACGGCTAAATCAATATTTCGTCCAGAAATAAATATTGCCTAAAAGGTTTCGCTAATATACGTCTACGAGACCTTTGTTCCTTCTATGAACACAAAATCTTCAGGCTAGCCTAATATTTTTTTTCTGGATGAAATATTGAGCTAGCGGTTTTTTTAAAAATCGACTCGAAACGAATCGTTCAAACACACTGCAGGATCGGTAGATTTTTATATTTATATAGCGTCAAATTTTTCCTGAGTGACTCAAAGGAAGGAATGAGAAGGAAGGAAGGAAGGAAGGAAGGAAGGAAGGAAGGAAGGAAGGAAGGAAGGAAGGAAGGTGTTAAACGGCTCATTCTGGGCCGATTTTTTTAAAAATGGCTAACTCAATATTTCATCCAGAAAAAAAATTAAGCAAGACCTGAAGATTTTTGCTCATAGAAAGAACAAAGGGTCTAAGAAATATTTCTTTTTCTAGGTAAAATAATGAGTTAGCCAAAATACTTATGTTTCTTTTAAAAATTATTCACAGTTTTTTTTTTACATTTTACCCCTATTCTTAATTTAACTTAACCCGTGAATGGTCAAGATTTTTCTAGTGGATAAAAATGCTCCATTTTTATCCAATTATATTGATTAATGCTTAAATATGAAAATCAGCCAATCGAAATAATCCTAAATAGAAAATCTACCCTGGCGCATATCTGCCCCGTTAACCATTCAGGGGGCTAAATAACTTTCCTTCACATTTTACCCCTCTTCTAATCGTTACTTTGATACAACCTCATTTTATTCATTTGATCATTTAAACCCGTTTACAAGTAACTAAATAAACTCTATTTTTAATATAACCATTTACTTCGGGTACTAAATCTGGCTTTGCTTAATTTGACCATACCATATCTTGTTTAGTTTGTTCCTTTCCTGTCTAGAATAACTCCCAGATATTTCTTGCATGCAACTTCCTTAGTTATCCCCACCCCCTTCCCCGTTTTATATTTATGTTACCATGAGAGGTCATCACCTTCGTTTCTGCATTAATTTTCAAGCCAAAAATTTAACGATCAATTTATTAACTAAGGTATCGAAGTTGGGCATAGATGTCTCCGTTAAACCCAAATCATCCGCGAAAGAAGAGTATTTATATCACCCATCAACAATTCTTCCTAATACGTGATTTTTACATTTCCTGTTTCAGCCATATTTTTACCAGAGCTTTCGGAGAATTCCGAACCTAAGCATGAATGACATTTGTTATCGAATTATTCTCACATTTATGACAGACCCAAAATATAATTTCTCTAAAATCTAAAGAAACAATGAAAGGGTGATAGAAAAAGCCATCCCTCAGTTATTATATAGAAATAAGGATAAGGAAGAGCTTTAGCAAGGGAGAAAAAAAAAGGATTTAGCATTAAATAAAGTAACGATAATGAGAAAAGGGGAAGCGATTCAAACCGGAAATATCCAACAAACAAACAAACAAAAAATGACAATACCATTTTTATAAATTCGTGATAGTAAATAACCAACCCCAGTATAAATACAATAATAGATAATCGAAGGCCAAAATTTTATCAAACTAACATAATTAAGTACCCCGGTGTTAACAAAATAAGTAGTTATCAAGATGAAAGAATTTTCAAAATTCTCTTATTAATTATTACAGATTTTTCTTCGAATTATAGCATAAATATTGGCTTGCAGTGAAATAGACGGCTTCATTAGGATTGGATTAGCACTTAATTGCCTCTATTCTCGCCCATAATAGTTATGACATATTTGAAGGAAAAATAAAAGTCGTAAAATTTTTATATTTCAATTTAAAATCGTTCATTTGTTAAAAGATTTTAGTTATTATTCAAAAAAAAAAAAAAATTAAATACGCTACCTTGCGGGATTATTTTTATAGATTTTTTTATTTTTTATAACTTTTAAATTTATTCCATCGACGAAAGATTGAAATATGAATTCATATATTTTTGATTTAATTTTACGTTTTTCTTGATTGACGTATTTTGCAATCATCCATATTTAATACGAATCGATTGATCCAATTTTAGCAAATAATTATTGTCAGAATTTAATCGATATAATTATATTAATTAATCATCCAAAATAACTTTAAAATAGATTGACACCTGAAGGGATCAACTTCGGGTACGATTAGACCAGAATTAAAAAATTACGCTTTCTCCCGATTTTTTTATTTAAAAAAATAAATTTTTTTAACCCCCCCCCCCCCAAAAAAAACGTCATTCATCTATCACGTGATAAAACTATCACCTAGACTGTCCTATCAATGAAAAACAGCCGCGGACGCCATTCGCCATTTTGATTACCCGTATCGTTTATTTGCAAACTTTCTTAAAAGAATCGCCTGATCATCGAGATAATAAGGAAGCGAATAACATGAGAATGATTTACTATATGGGTTACCAAAATGGCGTGTCCAGCTGATTAGCTATTCAATGACACCTTTCAAAGTCTAGATATTATTATATGTCATTGGATAAAACATTAATTTAATTATTTATCTATAGATGGCATAAGCAGGCTTTGCCCATTCTATTTTTCCCAATCCCATAAATATTACAAAAAAAAAATC